AGTTCTTGTATTTGAACTAATGCTGAAGTAACTATTCGGTTGAACAGCATCCAAACCTGTTAGAATCTTATAGACCTGGATCATGTCCCCCCTCAGTCTCCTTTGCTTGAGGCTGAACAGATTTAGCTCAAATAACCTTTCCTCGTATGACATTCCTCTAAGACCAGGAATCATTCTTGTGGCCCTACGCTGCACCTTTTCTAAGGCCGCTATGTCCTTTTTAAGATATGGTGACCAAACCTGTACACAATATTCTAGGTGAGGTCTCACCAAGGAATTGTATAATCTTAGCATTACCTCCCTTGACTTACTTGTACTTTCTGGACCTGAAATGTCAACCTCAGTGGCCGAGTATATGAGTACAACAAGCAGAAAAGCTGTTGCTATTTGGGACTGAAATGAAACTAGTAACATTAATAACTAGTAGCATTGAGAGAAACAGCATATGCATTTCCTTTTTTTGTTTTTACTCTATTAAAGCCCAATAAAAGTTGCACAATAAGAATTCAGTAAAATTCAGCCATTAACAAAATAAATAACCAATACAAGACCATAATACACAACATGAAAAGTATATATGAATACATTTCCCAGCACTGTACCATCACTAGCTTAGTGGTTTACTTGACAAGTTACCTGGGGGTCCACTAACCAGCCATGGTAAAGCGGGATGTCCAGGAGGTCAAACACAATGCACTCCGGCGTGTACTCAAAGTCTGAGACGCCGGTGAAGCGCACATTGACGTCCAGGCCAGTGGACAGCTTGGGCAGGACAGCCATGGCATCACTCATATTCTTTTAAGGAACATGAACAGAGTGAAAATGAATTTAACAGAGAGCCCACAAAAGCTCTTATGAGAGCTTATGAGAGCCTAGGCAAGTCCGGAGATTAATCTCCCCAAATAATGTTTTGGCAGGACAATACAGCACATTATGAACAGTAAATAAATCATACAATACACTTTTCATATACCTAGAACCAGTAAAATTCTTTGTACATATTTTCACAAACAAACTATACCAGAGTTTCCATCTAGGTCATAATTTACGACTGCTGGAATATCAAAAGAAATAAATGCAAATGTATTCCTAAGGAAACTGGCCAATGATTTCATTCATATGAGATTATACCTGTTTGAGAGACAGCAATTATTGGTGATGCCAAAATATAGTCCTGTTTCTGCTCAGAGGTGGTGTCAGAATGTCTCTTTGTCTTACAGACACTCATTGTCTACTCCACATGCCATTACAAGATTATGGGTGTTGAAAAACATCTGAAATATGTGAGGGTGTTTAACACAGTTATGGATGGTACCTGCTGAAAGTTGAGCTCCATGCCCTCTACATTTTCCCTGGGTTTAATGGATAGGACACACTCTCCTAAAATTAAAACAAGGGTAATACAGTACATGTCAGATCGGGGCTCACAACTTAAGGAAAACTATCATCTGTTTTTTTTCCATGAACTTGATTGGATATTTCTTCCCATTGACATACCTAGATGTGCCATCAGATCTTCTGTGGTAATTATTTCCGTTTGGGGAGCTAATTTGGCCTGAGAAAAACCAACATGGATCACAATCTGTGGTTAAGCTTTATGTTTAGGATTAAAATATAGGCAGTATCTCAGTGATTTACTTAGTTTTTTGAAAGTGTTTCTGAATATTTTACTGAGACCTCAAACACATAACCCCCTCACCTTCCAGCGCAGAAACAAAATGTTCATAATGGCTAGCAGGGGACATGGTCCATTCTCGCTCTGGGTGACGATGGGCGTCCTCTTCCCCTTCCAATCGATCCACTTAACAAAGTAGTAGGCAGGAGTAATAAGCTCCGGGCCCAAGGGGGCAGTGGCACCAATGGTACCACTGGCGGTCCCGATGGCGGCGTCCTCAGGCAAGCCGGGGCCATCGGCAGGTGGAGACTGACCTTCGGCGCCTATGGCTGAATAGGATGATGACAAAGGCTCGTCCAAAGAGACTTCATTATTCCCTTCTGAGAAGTCCAGGCTTGGCAGAGAGAAGGAGGCCGAATCTCCTGACTGGCTCTGTTCATCTGATCTGCTAGTTACATCCGACTTCTCTTTCTCTTCAATATTTGCGGAGTCAGCCTCACTTTCCCTGTATCTGTCTGAACCTTCACACTTGTGTTCTGAACCTCCGGATGAGATGCTGCCAGTCGGCCCTTTACCGTTCACGGTTTCTTGCTCTTGGTCTCCTTCAGCTGCCGAAGACGGCGGCACAGAAGCATCTTCTTGCAGGACTTCCTGGGTTACCACGACTTCCTGTTTACTATTCTGAACGTCTCCTCCAGTAGGGTCCGCATCAGCCACAGAACGTGGATCGGCCATGACTTGGCAACGGACTGTTCCTTTGAGTGCTTGAGCTTAAGATAAGGGTAAATTGTCTTGGAAGATAAAGTTTTTGGCTACTCAATTTTTAAATACAATTGGATAATGGGTCAAAAAATTGCTTTGAGAGGAACTGGGGGGAAAGCATCAATTCTGGAAAGCTAAAGCACATTCCTGATAAGATGAAAAAAGCACAAATTTCCTGCTTCAAAAGCCTGAAGTGAAGAAGAGTTTTGATAGTATCCGCCGCACCAACAGTGTCTGAAAGGTCAGAGGATAATTCTCCTATTATTTTATTGGTAGTTTGGATTTTTTAAATATAAAAATCTTTAGTTTCTTCAGTACTTTAACATGTCATCAGATAGAATTCAATACGCTACGAAAGCATATACCATGTTTTTTTATATAGGTATTATAAAATTTTATAATTACTTGCTTGATCACGTTGAAAACAAAATTGAGTATATATTCTAAACGGTTATGCGACGGTTTGGTCCGGGTTACGTTACGTAATGATGACTGATTACCGTTAATTTTCAAAAGAAATTCTCTATGTAGTTGTGCTTCTCTTTATACTAAAATTCGGTCACTTCTTTATCCATGAATACAATCAAATTATTTAGTTCCACATGTATTTAGCAACAAGGCGTGCATTTTCCTAGTTATTTTTGTCTCTGTTTTCCCCCCTCTTTGCAGAAAGCGTTTGTCGTAAGAACCGTTTGGATCGCAAGAAATTAGGTCCGGATTTATCTCCTTAAACTATTCGAGTCATCATATTTTGAAGTCAGCCCTGAAACACAAAATGAAGTTTAGGTAAAATATTGTTCACAATTTCCCAGTAACACGATGACATGATTTATCCCACCGAATTCACGTGTTAAAGCCAGTTCAACTCCGGGATGTTGTTTTTACTTGACACAAACTGCCTCCCATCTCAGCGAAAACAAACACGAACTTGTTGAAATAATACGCAAAACAATTATATACTGAGACGTCTAACGGATTAACTTTCCTAAGCTGTTACTGCTGCGTTCACCGCTAAGTAGCTGACTAAACAGTAACTTGCCTTCCCGTGGCCGGCGTGATTGAGTCTTGCTTAGGTTTGTTTCTCTCCAGCATCCCCGGCCAGTCATGCAGCTGGACCCAGCTTCATTTCCATGCTGTCTTCAGGCGGCTAACTAGCTGCTCGGACCCGACGTTATCCTGCTCCTTTCGCCAGGGCTGTTTTCATCCGCTCCGCTTCCTCCTGTCAGCCAGCGTAAACAATGACGTCACTGATAGACCCGGCCATCCCAAACAAGGGCTTTCAACGCACCCGACAACGGGCAAAGCTCTCAGAACAGGGGGAAACTGTAAATGACTGGAATGATTAAGACTTTTTTAGAAAGTCGGAATAAATAAAAAAAGAAAAACTCGGATAAAAAAATAATAAGTCTCTGACGATGCATTTCAAGCGCGGAGGTGTGAGTTTTCCGTTATGAGGGCGCTACAAGCGGTAGGAGGAGTGAACTGTAAGTCGTGTTAAACATCCGTGAAAAACCTTCTTTATGTATTACTTGTATGCATACGAAAAAGGTTGCAAAGTTGTTGGCTATAATAGTAATTATAATATTAATCTACATATTAATAATACGCGTATTTCAAAACACTAAAAGAAATACATACTGTGATATCACAAAAACACAAGTTAATCCCTTTTGAAACTCTGAGATGTATTCTTGGTAACACCTGTTAATCGCCAAATCTGGTTATATTTTAACTAAATCATTGTTAATGTTTGCCAATACCATGGACAATCCGCAGAGGTCGCTTTCGTAGGTAAAAAAAAAAAACACGTGTTCGCGACGATCAGTCCAGTTCTTGCGGAAATACGGCGCTGCTCCATTCTAATAATCACGGCGAGGAACAAAATTTCGCTGGAGGAATTACTGGTTCCTCTTGATAGATTATTCTTGAAACACGTCTAATATTTCGAAAAAAGGTTATCATCACAAATGTACATTTCGACATTTATTGATACCCTTATGCACTAAATAAAGTAAATAAAACAAACCATACATTTGTACCCTAATGATAAATTACGCTTCCAAAAAACAGCAATGTAAAGCCCACATGGCTTGAATGAGAGATTTTGTCTGATCTAAAAATACTGCATAATTTAATGTTTGAAGAGTAAAAATAATTTGCCCTTTGTACATCTGTATACAGGAAATCTTACTCGCACCACCCAGCCAATAACACGTAACAAAAACAGACAGCACAAAGACACAAAACATCAAACACGTACACCTAGAACTGCAGATGTTCGGATGTATGAAATAAGTAAAAAATAATTTATTTGGATGATTTATTTTGCAAGTAAAGAAATATTCTGTGGTCAATAATATTTTTCGATTATTCACGTGTTTATATATTACGCATACGTTATGTATATATAATTTAAGGAGGTTGGGGTATTTCTAGTGCCACGTCGCGCTGCATGACAGTGAGTCTTCAGTCGCACATGTCGATGCTTCTTGTCATTCGAGAGCCGCCGGCGTTCGCTTGCGTGCGCGCAGCATCGACCGTCATCGTGAACACGCTCTCGTCCCCGGCGCCCGCGAGCCAGGCGCCTTGTTTATCGCCGTGAACCCGCCACTCGCTCGAGGCTGGCAGGTTTTACGGTCACTCTCTAACCACATCCCTCGAGCGCCCAACCGCCACTTGACAGCGAAGCGAAAACAATCATACTGATTTCCAGTAGAATATCACGGGCATATTTATCTCTGGTGAAAATGGAGGGGTTTTTACGGAGCTGTAGCGAAGCACTTAAGGTAAGTGCAGTGCCTATCTTAGATGGAAATAGCTGGTCACCGTGATCTATTTGCTATTTATAGTTTTCTTTTGTATTCCTGGTCTGTGCTGCCTTGTCCTGGGAGTTTTGGACGACGAAACGCTGATTTTGTTGTGTAGTTTGAACGGCTGAACTAGAGGATATGCTCGTCCGCTAGATTAGTTAACGGAAACAGAGGCACTAGGTAAATAGTTAGGCTAGTTGTAGGGCTGTTGTGATTATTATAGGGCTATAGTGATTAAAACCCGTGACGTGATTATTATCTGAGCACGGATTCATGAAACAGGACTTATTCACTTAAGTGAATTCGGCCTGTAATTCGCTGCATAATTTTGGCAATTATTAATATAAACATATTTTATGATTTTTATAAGTAGTCTCTATGGTTATGTTACATTTTGAATATTTTAGTCTTAATATTTTTAGATCGTGAAAGTGTGCAATCTATTTTACAGTGCATTTACTAATACTAGGCTTTAAGATTACGAACTGCCCCGTCGGGCTGTGTCTCTTTTAAGAGTAATTTGCCACGAGTAATACTAGAAATATGTATAAGTTGTATTTCAAATTATTCATTTTGTCGAGAACTGCTCGTTTTTTTCGCTGTGGTTTCGATCCGGCGGTTTCAGGAGCGATGCGACAGCTGCACCGAACGATAACTAAACGCGAGACCCATGTGGACGCTGCCGATGCGTGAAGTTGCGGAAGAATCGGCGCCGAGTGTCGCCTGTTTAAGGCGAGCAGCCAAAGCTATTGTACATGTTACCACAACAGCAGGTCGACCATTGGCCCCGTAAAAGGGAATTTTGCAGGTTTGATTTCGGTTTCAGCTGCCAAGTACAACCCTTTCGATGGGGTTACGTTTCGACAAACTTGAAAATGATTTTAATACAGTACACATAACCTAAGAAACATCATAACCTATCCTATGGCCTGCCTTAAACATGCTTAGAACACTCACTTTAGCCTAGTTGGGTAAAATCATTAACACAAACCCCACTTTATATAAAAAGGGTTGAATATCTCATGTATTTATTTTAATAATGTACTGAAAATGAAACACGTTTACCCATCGTAAAGTCGTAATATTGTAACACGGACCATCGTCACCCGTCGGAGCGCCTGTAGTTCATTTACGTTTATTATACAGAAGATAACATAACGTGGTTTTCCGGTGAAATTCAAGTGATAGGACCCGTAGAAAATCAGTGCTGGGCACCTTTAGCTTGTACTGTACATTATTATGTGTATTGCTGAATGCTGTTTGCATGCGGATTTGCAGACCGGAATCAAGACCACATCTGCCAGTCAGTGCTGTAGGCGATGTGTTGTATAACGGGAGATGCAGAGGAGGTAAGACGTAGAGTGTATGTGTGTTCAGGGTTAGCGGCTAGATTTTTTCACTCCTTCAGTTTGCTGTGGCTAATACTCTTTGAATAGCTCCAGCTAGTAATGAAGCAACTTTCATTGTACTACCGTACATTAAAGGTCTTTGTTTTTTGAGCAGCTGCTGCCAGCATATTGGCTGGCAAGGCGCCGCCTCTGCTGGGAGGTAAAAGAGTCCCCATGTGCCATCTGCTGCCAGCCTGTGGCCCTGGCAGGTATGAGCAGAGCTGTGCTGCGTGGTTCTTTTCTCCATCCACTTCTGAATCGTTGTGGTTCGGGATTGGGGCTCTGCAGCTGCTTTTCTTGAATCTCTGTAGCTGCACATGTTGGCTGTGCAACCCGATGGCATTCCTCCTCCGGGCATGTGAATGTCACCAGCCCACCTGTGTCCCACTGAGTCCTGGGGAATGTGCCGTCAAAGAGAAAACCCTGCGATTCCCTATGGGAACGGTCCGAAGAGATAAACAGGCCACGTGTACAGAGTCTGTGTGATTCGGGAGCCCTGATGGGTTTGAAGCGCGACGGCACTGATTCCTGTTCACGTAACCGGGCATGGTCTGTAGTCTCTGTACCTTGGGAAGGTCACTGGAGGAATTTGTTTCTCCTTGTAGCCAGGACTGGTACTTTCTTTGTCCTCCTAAAAATGTAAGAAAAAAGAGAACTTTATAACTCTCACGTGAGCCCAGAAACACCAGAGGCATATTAGGTGTGATTATGACGTTTGTGTCTGACTTATAATTAAATGCTTCAGGAGGTGTGTGTAGGACTGAAGCCTTGCAGAAACCTGTTCCTCTCCATGACACCTCACTGTGCTGCGGGGAGAGAGACTAACTGAGATGGAACGGCCGCGTTGGCTGGAGTTACCGTGCCTCCATCTGTCTGTTTTGAATAAGCATCGGGGAGCATGAATTGCGTCTTGCCAGCCAGAGCTATAGTCTAGGTTCCTGGCTACACTGTTGCCTCGTTTTGGTCTAGAGGTTGTCTGAGCATTAAGAGAATCTGAGAGACAGGGTGGTCTGTTCATCAAAGGGACCCTGCTATTAATTTATTAACAAGTCGTAATTATTACTTGGAGTATATGTTTATCCAAACGTGATACATGTAGTGTGTCATGTCTGAGTTCTAATCAAAGTTTCCGAAGTAGTTTGCAGTAAGGTAAATGGGGCTAGGGCTGCAGGTGAGCACAGCTGTCAGGACATGACCAACGAGTTACTGGTTTTAGGTCCTGCCAGGAACACATTCATTCTTTTAAACCATGCACTAAACCTGAACTGCTTGGTTAGATACCCATCAATTAAAATTGTCAGATGAGTACATCTGTTAAGTGATTGCAGTGTAGCCATCTTGCTTAAGCTAATTGAATATCATCCTGTACAGTTTAAGGTAGTCTGGTTACTGCCTTTCAGTTTGTACATGTTTAAAATTGGATGTGTATCTGTTAGCTACTGGATGCTTGAACTTATTTCAGCTTCAGGTGGTGTAATTAAACAGTCTCAAAAAATGTTTGACTGGAAAAGTCAATCGATGATCAATAATGTCGCAATCAGTCCGAAAACAAAAAACAACACAGCAAATGCTAATTTTACTTGCAGCCTTTTATCTTTCCTTAGCACTCATCTTGACTGATGAGGGCCAGTTAGTTTTTAACTAGTGACCAGCCCCTCTTTCTCTCTGTCGTGTCCAGTGATGCTTTCTTCACAAGAAGTACACCTGGATTGGCATACACTAAGCTTCTCATCATCATTTTAGTGGGTGCTGTGTTTTCTCTTTGCAAAAGGCCGCTCTTCCGTAAGGCCTCTTTCACTCATGGCGTTATGCTTGATTAGAGCCATGTGGCTCATTTCCTTCCAACCTTTGGCCATGGTTTAAGGCTTTCTGCTCAGACAAGTGATTCCCCCCCCTGCCCATAGCACACCACTGTTTGCATTATCTGTTGTTTACCTCCATGGCTTTTCTCAGATTAAAGTGGTCGTTGCTCCACGCTCCATGCTCTGATAGCGACCCCGGAGCACCCTTTTTCTGCATACCAAGCAAACCAGCAGCTGGGGCATACTACATGCCTTTTCATGGAAGTGCTGCATGGGAGAGTCAGGAGAACTGATGGGTCCGCTTCTGAGAGGACTTAATTCAGCATCCATCACGCAGCAGTGTCTGTAGATAGAGTATCATATTTTGGGATTCGTTCTTTGAGGATAATGGGGGAATCAAGGGTCTCTGCTAATTTTGTATCAACGGGCAATGTGACTTTGTTTGGATAAGAGGTTAGTACGTACGGCTGGGTGAGTAGTTGTTCTGGATTAGAGGAGATGATTTGTTTATAATCCATTCAAAGGAAGTATTTGTAGTCATCCAGAGGCATCAAGTGGTTGGCTGCTGCTGATCTAGGTAGTTATTGGTGTGTCTTCAGCAACAGTCCATCCATTTTCTTTACGCTAATTGAAAGATGGACAGGTCGTGGAAGATGGGGTGGGCGTACAGAGAGCAGCTGTGAAGTTCTTGTACCTCATCACCAATGATCAGAATCTTCTGGCAAAGTATGTTTGGTCCATGCCCTGCAATTCACCCAGGGATACGATTGTTCTATACTTTAGTTTTTCTTTTGCTTTTTAGGCTTCTCTGATTTAAAGGATGTATTGTAGCGAAGTTATTGATGATTAGTTTTGGCCTGAATTTTTGCCCTGCGGTACAATCTAAGTGCAACAAGCTTAGCTTACCGATGCTAAAAATGTTCTCTTTTGAGTTTTGGGTGTTGGGTGCCGCACACCGAATTACATTAGTATAAAAATGGAGTCTCTGACACCCCGCTTTCTTCCCAGCGCTGCTCGGAGGATGGCTCCAAGGTCCACGTGGTCCTGGGGAACGAGGCCTGCGACCTGGACTCCATGGTGTCTGCCCTCGCCTTCGCATATTTCTTATACAAAGTGGGTACAGTGGCTACCTCCTCTGACAAAGGCCTCATTATGCGTGTCGGGAACTCGGTGAATAGATCTTCGTTTTTATAGCTTATGTAACTGGACAGAAATGAAGTCAACAGAGACCTGAACAAACGTTCCTGCTCTGTAGCGTGTATCAGTGTTTGCGAGGTACAATAAATAAGGCAGAGTAAGAGACTGAGGTTCCCACCGGTCATTGGATATGGGAGTCAATTAAGTGTGTATTGATGAATGGGGGTCCAGGTTAATGAGCGTTAACTCACTTTCTGTGTTACCATTAGCAACAAAGTGATCTGTGATGTTTGCACACAGTTCCGCTCAAAAGCTCATTGCAGTGTGAATATCGGCGGGCTGTGTTTAGCAATGGCTTTTTACAGACCTTTATTACAAGGCATTGATCCCATTTGGATGTTTGTTCCACATGATACTAAAATGTTTTGATGACTTTCTGGATTAATTAGGTGACTGTAAACGCTCTGCAGGAATAAGACGCCATCCTAGCCTAATCCTACCTACTTTCGCAGACGTCCAGCAGCTCTGGAAAGGTGACTGTCCCGCTTCTGAACATCCGGCGAGCGGAGCTGGCGCTGCGCACAGACAACACATTCCTGTTGCGCCAGTGTGGCCTTCCACTGGAGGCGCTGTTGTTCCGGGACGATGTGGACCTTGCGGGGCTCCACAAGGCCGGGCAGCTGGCTCTCACACTGGTGGATCACAACGTGCTGCACAGGTCAGAGGAGTAGCGGAGTAGCGCGGGCTGCGGGAGTAGCTGGGATGCTCTTCCAGACCCATTGCTGAACCCTTTTTACATGCTGATTTGTAAAATTCATTATTACGTCAGTGTCTTTGTCAGCTTCAGATATATGATGTGTGATGTCATACACTGAGCTGAAATACTGTTCTCGATAGTCATAGTGCAAATATGAAGTAATCTGATTGGTGGGGAAAGATTGTGCAAGCATGGTATAGGATTATATCGTGGAATTCTTCAGTCTGGTAATGGTTGCAGTGCGGCCAGTATTAAAAGTCAAAAAAGGTACCAGCATGTAAAAAAAAATATTTTCGCTATATATATATGTATGTTATTCACTGAGCTATGACCCCCCCCACCCCACCCCCCCACAGCTCTGACAGTGGCCTGGAGACGGCGGTCCTCGAGGTCATTGACCATCATCATTTGGAACGGACACCGTCCAGCCTCTGCCCCGTAACCATAGAGACGGTGGGCTCATGTTCCACCTTAGTGACTGAGCGCATTGCCCAGAAAGCTCCTGAGGTGCTGGACCAACAGGTGGCACAACTCTTATATGGTAATCCCCATGGCAACACACACGTTCAGGGAGATCTGCAGAGTCTGTGTGATTTGTGCAGTTATATTTAAATTTCTTAACGTTATCACTTTTCCGGTGTGCCCTGAACATTGACAATGGGCTGTTTGCTCAGTTACCAGGTGCTAAATTTAATCTGTTAACCTATATATGTTTTTACATCCGTATCGTCAAAAAATAATAATTGATTAAATGCACTGTCTGTTACTACATCAGGCATTAATTAAAACTTGCCTTAATTAAATGTCTTTTAAGATCCTTCATTTTCTACCCAGTGTGATAATAGACAGTTAACCACTTTTGTGTTTTTCTGATCGTAGGAGCCATTGTCCTCGATTGTGTGAACATGGCTCCGGAGGCGGGAAAAGTGACACCCAAAGACAGCCAGTATGCTGTCTGGCTGGAGTCGCGCTTCCCGGACCTGCCTCCGAGGGGCGCTCTCTTCCAGTCCCTGCAGACTGCCAAGTTTGATGTTTCAGGTTGAGCTCGACTCATTGTCCCTTTTCAGCCATTGCAGCATGGCTGCCTGTACACCGTATCCTTGGAAGAACATGAACACTAATGATGTGCCGTTCATTTCGGCACAGTCCCTGATATCCCTTCTCGGTCCATTTGATACCAGGCCTGACAACAGAGCAGATGTTGCTGAAGGACATGAAGGCGGTGTCTGGGGGAGATTTAGCGCTGGCCGTCAGTGTTGTTTATATGACGCTCGATGTGAGTAGACAGTGGTGTCATCCATTCATTCATTATTCATTATTTTCTGTGTGTGCATAAGAGTGAGGTAACGGTAATATGCCACCTCAGGGGAAAAAGAAAAGATTTTATTTTTATTATCATTGACCGCAGAACCGGGAGAACATTTGGAACCTCATTAAGAATGCAGTGATGAACACGAAAAAATTGCCTACAAATAATTTAATGCCAGCCAATGAAACTATTAATAAAAGCCGGAGTTATTCCTGTGGTGTTTTTTTTTTTTTTTGTAAGTAAAATGTGATTTTGAGGCGAGAAAAATATTTGTCACTTGCTGATTGTTTCAATTTGATGTGGACCAATCAGCTTTATTTTGAGACTATATATTTGATGTTATGTCACCAGCAGCGTTTGCCGAATCTCGGCATGCATTGCGAGGGCGAAGAATGTGTATCGTGAGGTGAACAGGCCTCCACAACTTAGAAAATAACTAAAGAGACAGAGGATTATGTCAGAGTTTCTTAAAAGGAAGCGTAACTTTATGCCCCCCTTGTTCAGATATGTTTTGCGGTCTATGATTATTATTATTAGTTATAAAAGAGGTACATGAGCTCATTTCATGAGTTGAATCAGCTGCCTGTGCTCCACCTTGGGATCGTTAAACAGCAGACCATGGCCGGCTGGGTTTTTCCAGCAGGGATGCATAAGCATGGCGATAAAAGATTTTGAAAAGATAATTGGGTTCAGTTTACATTCCGCTGTATTGCATGTGACCTGTTTCTTCCCACTAATTGTGTATTTCTGCAAATAAGGTTATGTCTAAGAAGGAACGATGCATACCCCTGTTCAGCTCCGTCGGCTATAGATAATGATTCATGCCGAGCTGAAATGAAAGCCGAATGCCGCTTCTTGCCTTTTTGATGTCGGGAACGCTCTGTTTGTTTATGTTATTGCTCTGGACAGGCATTCCTGCAGCGGAGATGTCTACAACAGGAGCTCTGTGAGTTTTGCCACAAGCACCGCTTTGGCCTACTGGTTGCCATGACGATCTCCTTCAACGAGAAGAACGAGCCCTTCCGCCAACTAGCGGTCTATAGTTCCAGCACACTCTACAGGGAGGAGGTAAGTAATGCCACACCACAGCGGATCACCCTTTTTTGGTTTGCTCCACAGTTACTGCAGTGCTTGTGGGCTTACCCTTGTCATCAGGATGGGGGGGGATTCAATCAAGATCAGTGTAACTTGTCAGGTCATCCAACACCAGGCAGGAAATGTAGTCTTACAAAGACTCCTGCCTTGCGTAGCCTCTGTTTTTTTTGGAAGCATATGTAAACACGTAAATTTAACTTCACAGAGCAATTCATAAATATAACTGAGTTTTATTCAGTTGTTTTACATATGTTTTCATTGTACTTTTGGTTGACCCGTAAGTATTATCTTAGATACAGAGTGTGCAATAAGTTTGAGATTCAGTGTTGAATTAGGTTGTGGGGTGAGAGATTCATTCCATGAAGTGCTGTTCTACCAGCAAAGGACTAGATTCTCACAATGTGGTTCATCTGAGTACATTCTGTTTGCAAAATTCTCTGCGGGGTTGGACTGTTTCTGGTTATTTTTGCCTTTTGTAGGTGAGCCAAGCCTTGGACAAAGCCCAGAATCCCTGCCTTAACCTGTCTCCAATGAGCAGCCCTTATGCTGATGTCAAAGCCTACCTCCAAGGGAACACCCTGGCCTCCCGTAAGAAAGTGTTGCCCATAATCAAGGACTTCTTGAGGGAGTGGGAGCGAAGAACAGTGCATTGTGGGGATGTGGAGGACTTAGAATTGGAGGACCAGTTTGACCCCTCCCGCTCCCCTAGCATGGACGACGAGACGCGCACCCGGCGTTACTCGGCGTCGCGGCAGCGCCGGCCAGCGGCGGAGGACATTGGAGCAGAGGAGGATTGCCAGGTTCCCCCCACGCCCATGAACAGCCTGGTGGACGGCTGCCCCCTGGATAACGGCCTGCCCAAAATCAGCCCCGAGGCCATCCTGGAGAAGTTTAGCAAGATGGCCAACCCAGAGGCCACAGAGGGCAAAGGAGTATCTGGGGGACATTGAGGTGGGGGTCGGCCTTCCTGTGTGTGCTTCCTGCCCCCACCCCCACCCTTACCACAAACCCAGGAGTCTCAGCATCTCCCTCTATGCAGTAATCAGTGTTCTTTCTACAATCTCTCTGGACAAACGGATTCCTGAACAAAGTTACGGTATTTTAAATCGGCCATCTTTTTTGGCCTCTGATGTATGGTTTTGAGGGCGTTCCGTCAGTTCCACTTGTTCTTTGAAGAGCCCTGGTTTTTGGCCCAAGCTCTTCATTTATTAAACCTTCGTTGTTCTTTCCGGGACTGCATCATACTACTCCGGATACACTTTTTAATACCTTGGTGTAGTGGTCAGTAACCCTGGTTAAGGGGTTAGTTTTACATGCTGTGCCTAGTTACCTGTTATCATAGACGGTTGTCATTTTGACATTAGAATGTAAATGAGGGATTGGTGATCATAAATGTCTTTGTCACTTAGGTCTCTGGAAACAGGATTCATTGTCAGAGCTTGTTCAAATCTGCCCCTAATAGCTAAGTTGGGGTATCGCGAGTCCGGCTGCATAGACCATCTTCTGGACCAGAGCTTGTGGTCACTAGCTGATTAGATTAAGCAGATGAAAGGAAATAAACTAAAGGAATGCAAAGAGGAGATTTGGAAATAGGATGCAGACTCGTCGAGGTGTAGCTTTATGCGTCCCTTACTGCTACTGCATTCCACAATAATCGGTTTTAAATTATTTCATTCATCAGCGTCGTGGACAAAGGGAAATTTAATACCATTGTACTGCGTATTCTGTGTTATTATTAGCACTGCGTCCCCAAACTTTCTCTCCAAAGACGTCATGGAATTAGCCGGAGTCGAGGAAAGGGCACAGAAAAGCAAACACTTTGCACCGAGGCAGGTGGGAGGCCCTATCTCTTTGTCGTCTCCCCTGGGTCCTATACACCACCTCTCCGAGACTTGTCGGGAAGGGCCGTGTGAATAGAACATATCTTCAGCCTCAGGCAGTCTAGATGCAGCAAGCAAGAGGCCGTGATGTGTCCCTCTGTGCAAATCTGCCGTCATCCCCTAAATATACCTGAGTGACACGTGCTTGGATTTTCCTACCGCTATTTATCAGAATTTTCCAAAGGCGGCTGGGTTTTTTTTCCAGCTCTTGTCTTTTAACGGTTTTTACCAAGTGTTGTGTGGAAGCTGGTAGAGTAAGGGCAGTACGAAAGTATTCTATTTATTCCTGTTAGTTTATTTCCCTCAATGTGTAACATTGTAGTGTTTGGCATCCACATCACTGCCATGATGTGACACCTGATGCCTTAAGTTTAGCTGGTATTAGTGTGTAGCAGTCTGTGTTCTGGAAATTCATTTCCTGTTTTTGTTTGCTTGTTGATTCCCAAATACTGCTTCAAGGCATGACTTGCGGGATTTTCTGACCCAAAAACTGCAAAGCTGATTATCTGCAGATACCCATAGTTTCTCCCCACTGGTGTCAGATAATGTGAATTAATTCCTCTTTCTTTACAAATCTGCTGTATTGGTGGGACTCCCCAGCATCCTGAAGAATGGACAGATGCGCATAATTTGCTGCAACTTGTTTCTAGACCAGCACATGCAGAGCACCCTAGGTAGAGCTGGTTTTTAAACTTAGAGTTGGGTGTCCTATTGCCGCGCCCTTCTCTGTCTGCAGATGAGGTAGGATTTTGCTTTCCTTATCACTGACAGCTCTGTTGTAAATATATTCAGCGTAAACAGCTGTTCCAGTCATTAGCCTCATGCTGCTACCCAACCAACCCTTTATATTAATTAAAAAAATACCTCTGCCAGTTGAAGTATCTGTTCCTGTAGATTAATTACATTCTGTATTCGTTCAGCAGGTTAGCTTCATTAAAGTGACAGTTTTCTGTGTTATAGTTCCCATCCTGGCCCACTGAGATGCCCAAACAATTTTTTCTCCGAATAACGAAGGCGATGGGTCTTCACAGGCTTGTGTAGCAGCCGTCTGTAGCCTTGTTTATTCAGTCTGGATCTGAAAGGGGTGTGTGTTCGCGTTGAAGAGCTTTGGCTGGTCCATCCAGTGTAAGAAAATGTAAGAAACGTAAGTATGATGTAGATTCCAAGTAATCCTGGCTGTGCCCTGTATCAGGGAAGGCTGTGACATTATGAATGATGGCACACTTGGGTGTTGAAGTCCTCTTCTGTGTCTGTAATGAAGGAAGTCATTTTAGTGTTAACAGCATTGTTTGCTTTATTATACAGTTTGGTCTAATTATTGTATCAGATGAGGGGAATCGCATTCAGCATTTTGATTTAGCTGAAGTCTTGAGACGAGTGTTTAGATTTTTCTTCCAAACTTCTAAAAACTTGTTTCAAGATGATTTCACTGTCCCCTTTCCTTCCTGTTGTGATCATTTACAGGATCAGTGCGCTTGTAAAGCAATCACATTTCTTATCATTTGCAGACTGAGCGAATGTGCTATCCAGTGTACATATCTGATGATGCTATACTGTGAACACCCAATGCTAATCTGTCGACTTGCTGTCTTTTCGACTCGCTACGATTTGTTAATCCAGAGAGCTGGTGACAAAGGTTTTAAAAAGATGGCAAATCTTGCAGTGTTGCTTGGTCGCTGCGATACTAGTCAATCTGAATAGTTGACTTATGTTTAGATATAGGCTTAGATGTATATTTATAATGACACATAAACCATATATGTTTGAATGATAATTTGGCTGCTATGCTTTTGGCCCATGTGAAGTGTTTCTTTTCAATTACTGTATATAACATACGGAGTTGGAGCCTTTTGAAAGTGGGATTTGAGTAACATATTTTTTTTGTAAATGACCATCACAGGAAAACAGCCGTATCTGCAAGGCAGTTTCTACATTGTGTATTAGCGTATTGTACTGTAGTACTTATTAGTAAGAAAGCTAGCATTGTCATTCATGCAAACAGGCGTACCTTGCAATGGGGGGAATTGGAGGACTTTAGTTTAAGACATGAGATATTCTGATGCACTAATGCTGATGGAGTCCTTTGATCGAGAAAAGTGTGGGTGTGATGCTGCAGTCGGAGTTGCTGTTTGAGTCAACTCCAGGACATTTGGCTTTAAAGTGGTCTGCCTTTGTGGTCAGAGAGCAGGTCACATCACTTGTAATATACTGGGGATTGTGTATTTGGTGGTGCGTGGTATTTAATCATATTCACAAAGAAGCGGTGTAGTGTATAAGATCAGACAGGTGTCAAAATGTTGTCTCGTTTTTGCAGTCTGAGTCTGCTTTTCTCGCTGGATGGCACGAAGTGGGTGCAGCACAATATGCCTGTTTTACTCTATTTCATTTCTGGCTTGACTAACAGAATGACTGTGCTTTCTTGAGAAGCCTTGTTTTGTCAGCGGGTTTTTCTCAGAATCTCTGGTTCTTCGTGGCTGTCTGCTGAATGACCTCAAAACTGGAGTTCACAGGAGCTTCTATCAAGTGACCTACGATGTATCTGTAAATCAGAGCCAGTAACACCGCTCTGCCCGCTCCAGTACTGGACCACACACCATGTTCCCTCTTTATTTCTTTTTACACCCGATTTAAGCTGGTGTGAGATGAAAAATGCCACCTGAGGTGTGTGACATTGCTCCTCTAGAGTTTGCTGATGGAGGAGTCACCTGAAGTCCACCCTGTGTATTCTGCATTTAAGGTTTTTGGGCAGAAATTTTATATATGAAGCAGAAAGTCCTTCACCTATAGAAAAAAAAAAAAAGAGGTACGTTTTGTTTATCTCATCATGTTTCTTACAGGTAACATTGTCTCGAATTTCCTCTTAAGAACTGTGTTATGGATAGAAAAAATGTAAATAATAATAATAATCCATTCAGCCAAAAGATACTTGATACATAATTTAAATTTATAAGATTAACTGAGTTCTTTATTTTTTGATAACAGTTTTGGATGATTTAATCTCTTGGTACAGATTTATTTTTTATCTTAAAAGTATATATGTTATTCAGCGTATTTGAGACTGGTACTGTATATATTTGCATGATTTATTTAATTATGTTGACATATTCACTGTAATGTGCTTAAAGACTATTCAATTCATTTTCAGGTACTATGCAGGACTTTTAAAAATAAGAACATTGCTTATTAATGGGTGTTGATTCGTGATCGTTTTCTTGTTTTGCTAATAGTACAGTTTAAAATGCAAAAAATATATATGTCACACTAAAGCACACCTCTCCCAAGGGACAGGAGTCATTTTGTAGTTCTTCTGGAAAAGACTAAGCAGTCATCGCACCACCAAAGAGTCAGTATGGAGGCCAGGAATGAGGGATTCTGGGAGGACCCGGAATTGTGCTGCATGGGTGCTGACTCACAGAATCCCACCACTGCTGCTCACGGGTCAAGCTGAAGCTGGCGGCAAATGCTGTCACCGTTTCAGATGTGTCAGGCAGGTGTCCTGTCGATGCCAGTGAGCGGAGACGCTGACAGCTACTCCTCTGTCACCCTGTGTCTCCCGTAATCTCCTGTCTCTCTCAGGTGTCTGTCCGCTGTCTCTGCACCGTGTCCCCCGCGCGTCCCCTGCGCGTCTCGATGAATGTTACGAAGCCCAAAGATACCCAGTCGTTATTGACCGAACTTTATCCCATATCACCCAACAAAGATCAAAAAAAAAAAAAAAAAAGCATGAAGATTAAATAGAGAATAAACAATGAATGAGCTCCCCACCCACTGCTATGATCTTGATTTACATAATGCAGGATAATCACAAGTGAACTGCTCATCAAGTGTGTGTACAATCCCGCTGTTCCAGACGTGGTTTGTTTCTGTCACTGAATACATTTTATCTTTTAATGCAAACTTAGTAAGCTATATAAAATGGTTTTAGTTAGCTATATAAAATGGTTTTATAGTGTTTGAATGCAAAGTTTAATTAAAGAATTTTAAAAAGCATAAGGTTTCCTTTTTTTATGGCAGTGTGTTTCATTCCTTTAGGTTTCAGGTAATGACATCATGGTTAAATGTCAACATTCTCATCTAGCTGATGTGTGGAGACAAATAGACTGAACTGTGACCTGACCTCGATAGGGATGTTTCTTTAGCTTGTGTTTTGTAGACTGTTTTGTGACCAAAACTTTTGTTTTTATGGTAAATAAAACCTCCAACAGGGCTGATTTTAATAATTGGTACATTGTCTTTCTGTATAATGAATATGACAAAGGTCAGATTTGCAATCACATAATGTTTTTCCACCACCTCTCATAACTACTGTGTGTGGGAAGTTGTTATGGAAACCATTGTGATGCGTACTTTGGTTTTAGTTTGGTTTCCATACACAAACATCTCAAGTTAAACGCTGCTCTTGAGGAAGACCACATGAGGGCAGACTTGGACCATAACAAGGTGATTCTCATTTGGACCTCTTACATGCACATGCTTACATGACAACATTTTAGCATTCTTTTTTTTTTTCTTTTCTTTTTTTTTACAATTGTTGGTTCTGGCTAGATATTGATTTATTTAAAATTTAATAAAAGTCATTCGAATTGCTGGTTGATGTAAATCAAGTCTGGATCCTCTCAAATTCTTACTAATCACAGCTTTCTCATGATCAACCCCCTTGCATAGCAGGCAGTGTTTTAACCTTTACCAGAAGGTAATGATTGCTGAGCATTAATTATGATGAGTCATGAGATATATATGAATTTGGTCATGAGGTTTGATGATCACCTTGCGCTGTGTTAATCTGTTTTCACCCAAGAAAATGACTTAACTGTGGCCACCAACTGTGCCTCACTTTTAAATGAATAATGTATTTTGGTGTGATATGTGAGACCGCAGGTGAGTCACCTCTGCAGGGCAGTCCAGCTCTGCTCCCCAGGGTCCAAAAGGTCAACCTACATATCTCCTTTATTCTACATTGCTTGATACAAGTAATGCCAGAAAGAATACTGGCAAACGTCTTCAGCCAGGCTTTTGGAAAACCCACAATCTATGACAACTGATCTCTACTATGTATTATATATAACATATTGTGTCATATTTGTGGATCTCCCTGCTTAATTTGCAATATTTGACTATATAAATTGAAATAGATCCCTCTGTTTTACTAACCCTGGTGGAGACCTCTCTCCTTTAAGCTTGAGATATCCGTTCCAGGATATATGACCATGGAATCAGCTCTCACAGGTCTATAAAGAAGATTCTGCAGAACCAGAATGGAGTCTAATTTGAGATGGTGCAAGCGAGCGTCTAATGCTGAACTGTCCCTGTTGAATCGCTGACTTTTGTCTGCTCTGGGTGTACATGCGTTACGAACAAGCTCAGGGTTCATAACCAAGAAAGAGGGTTACTTAGAGTAGTCATAACCCTCCCAAAAGAGTTTTATTTACAGTGGGAAAACGCACAAATGGCTTCATCAGACACAAGAAATGTATCAGATTGGGATGTAACAGTGTGTGTGTTGCCTAATTATACAGTGCTTAATTATAAAGTGTCTTAGTTAAATTAAGTCCTAATAAGTTCAGGATATAGCTTAGGCAGCCAGCATAGATTAGTAGAAGTTTGGTCTTTTTTGATCAAAAGTTATTTGGTTTTATTATTATTTATAAAGAATACTTGATAATGCAGTTTTACGCAGGTAATTCTTGAGATCAACCACTGCAAGAAAAAGGTCTATTTATAGTGTTACAGGATTAGGATCGTGTGGGATTTGTGTGATGTGCCACTTTAATGACATTATGCTTGTTGTTTGGTTATGAACTGCTCTCTGACACTCCTCAGTGGAGAGGTGGGGGGGGTCACTGGGTGTTTATTGTATGTGAGATACCAGTGGTCAGAACAACAGGGAAGACCACAAGTTTACAGAAGCAACTGTGAGTTTTGGTGATGTGATTCTAGCGATATTCTGGTACGCTGACGTGATATTGGTTGAGGACAGATACATCACTCAATCAGTCACCCCTACGATTCGCATGGTTGATTGACTAGGTATAGAACTCAACTCGACTCGCTACAGACAAACATTTCAGTTTCGTAGACTCTCCCTTACAAAATCATCCCTGTTTCAATCCACACTCCTGGCTCCAATGTACCAATCCTCAGGGTTTTGTAGATGTCCTGAAATATCAGTGTTAGGTGGCTGTAGCTCTTCCTCCATATCACACATATTCCAGTCACTTACGCTTCACTGGGGGTGGTTGGTGCCCCATCCTGGGTTGTTCCCTCCAGCATAGGCTCTGGGCCCCCGCAACCCTGAATAGGATAAGCGGTTACAGAGGATGGATGGATGGAAAGTCAGATTGAAGTGTCATATGAACTTCATCCTTATTCATTTTGTAAGTATACTTCTTGTCTAAATTTCACTGCCAATCTGTATACACCATTGGCCATTTACAGTAAAACAAATGTTTACATTTTTCCACATAGTGGCTTGATCAAATAAGTCTTTCAATGACATAATTGTTCTGATAACGATAACTTTTTTCTTAGTGTGATTATTATTAAATGATTGACCAGACTTTAGGACCATGGGGATACGTACTAACAGTGTCGGGCTGAGTTGTTTTTGTTGGGGAGGGAGACCGCTCAGGTGAGTCAAACCAATAGAGATCTGTCGTGGCAGGTGCCCCCGTAAGAACCTGCAGGGAGGCTGTAAGGGAATTACCTCACTGTTCAAGGCCTCGAGAAAAACAGAAACAGGCAGGTGTGAGTAGCCAGTCCTATCCGAAGCGAAAATACCACATTTCCTAATGTGTACCATCATCAGGGGACACGTCTGATCTCCGTTACCGACCCAAGGCAATGGGAACATACACAGATAAGAGGAACCAATACTTCCTTGATGGGTAAGTCAAAATCAGCTTGTGCAGCATCACAAAGTGATTTTCCTTCAGCTGATTGATCTGATGACTATAGTTTTGGAATCAGCTGTCAGGGTGGTTATAATACTTCAGAAAAGTACGTTTCTTTGGTGTCATCAACGATGGACGGGTAACAATGTCAGGTTTTTGTGTGTCTGCTAACCTCTGCGGCCAGGTTTGAAAATTTTCTCATGCTTGCACTGAATAGACACATTTAATAAATTCCAGTCGGATATCCATGCAGACAGGGAAGAAGAAACCATCTGACTCCATTATGAACCGCTGTCTCAGATAACACCCTTGTGTGTTAGGTGATACCTGTTCAAACACCATAGTGACAAACTCCCCCAATCCCAGTTGCTTCGCTAAGCTTTACTTTACATTTTCACATTTACCCCTGCATGTAGTAAGAACCAAATGCCTAATTATAGACTAATTACACCCAAAGTGGGTATGAAATGTCGGATGCTGTCATATATATTGAAAGGCCTTTTTAATGCTGACCCCACAAGCCATAAATGAGTACATGTGAGTAAATACTGGTTCCTCTACTGAGAGAAGCAGATGTACCGTATCTGTATGGCATTCTAAGTTACATAGTAAGTTGAAGTGCTTTTCCTCTGCAGACTGGATGCTACATCTAAGATCACGGATTAACTGTCCTCTTCTTTAGCAATGTTAATCTGATAAAGAATCTAATCAAACCACTTCACATACAAGCACAACTTTATCGACCCATTAACAGGTAGCAGTTTTACTTTTATTACAGCAAAGGGCAATTAAGCGAGACAACATGCTGCCGTACAACATTAGTGTGACTATATACCGGAAGACTTCTGTGTAACAAATACTTGGGTGGGACGGGGAAGTAGTGTGGCATGAAAAGTCAAACTGGATTTTCAGGCTCTTAGCATACACACTCAGCACAGCTGTCTCACAATAGCGAGAACCACCATAATGATTTTCATTTCCTAAGGGGACAATAGCACCACATGGGGCTACCTGAAGCAGGTGACTTGACGTATGCCTAAGGATGCAGACACAAACACCTCACCTATCTCAAAGCTATGCCTCTTGCCATCACAGGAATCAAACTGCTGCTTTAAGATGAACTCAGTGAATTTACGGAACTCTGTTTTAGGAAATGTCATATTGTTGTATAATGGGTAAAATCATACATTTCAATCCTCATCTCCTTTGGCAGGGCCAGGTACAGCAGAAGACTTATGAGAGCAGAGAATTCATTAGTCTGATGTTACATTTTTCTCCAGAAACGTAATGTACATTAATATGTCCGATAAAGATGTTCCCCAGTGGCTTAGCATTTAATTATGTCCTCTAATTCTCAGAGGCGGACATTTCAGGTCCAGAAAGTAAAAATCCAAACCAGGATTTTGTTTCAACCAGCCAGTTGAGCACTCTGTGACTGTGACTCTTTATATTCAACTGGTTGGTTGAAACAAAATCCTTGTTTGGATTTTTGCTTTCTGGACCTGAATGTCCACCTCTGCTTATTCTCTTATCTCACATAGGTGAAGTAGATTTTTGAGTGGGTAATGGGTGATCTTTTTGGTGTGGGAACACCCCAAACAAGCCCATAAAACATTTTTATCTATGTGCATTGTTTACACAACAAAACTCTTGTTTATATTTCAGCTGGATTAACATATTTCCTCATATATGTGAGGAAAAAATGATAGAAAACATCACAAAAATGATGCCCTGTTCTGTGAAGTACACCAGAAGGTGATCAGTATATTAAGATAGGATTCCGTCTGTTTGCTGTCTCAGTAGTTTGCTCCGGTCTGAGGTTTGGACCCCAAAGGAAATTGTGAGATTATGATTAAGCCGGGTTCCAACTCATATAATGTTGAAGCATTGTTTTAAAATGAAGATTCCTATATCAGCCATCTTTTCTAATTCAAATTCCCACAATGAGAATATATTGATAATTGGCTGGTATTGTGTGTGTCAATGAACTGCAGAAATGCAAGCGGAAATTAGATTTAAATGTTTTCCATTCCTTTAATGCAGTTTAATTTTACTAACTTGCGTAACATAAAGTTACAATTTTGAAGCGCACATTAAAGGCCTTCCACTAATAAAACATGGAGTAAGTAAGGGGGAAAAATCAACATTTGCTACTTGACTCATATTTTCCTGCTTGCCAGAGGACGTGAACACATTGGTGGGGTTAAATCATCACACATTGTAAATACAGGCGCGGCCGCCCTGGCCGCGTCGCCATGACGACAGGGATGCGGCGCTATAAGAAAATCCATCGCACCTTGAGTCTCAGGTGTGTCTGATGCGTGGGCGCGGACGCGAGGCTCCTATTGGCTGACTCCGACCCGTCTGCGGACGCGTTCACGTGAAGACTAGAACTTTTCGAATCGTAAATTGTTGGAGCACAAATCACGCACGTTAAGACGCTGAAGGTATGCGCGCTGGTGTTTTTACGTTTGAACGCTTTTTTTAATGCTATAAATCTCAACCAGTCAGATAAAACCATATGGTTTTAGCCCGTGCGTCCACGAAGCACACGAAAAAACAAGTTTTAATTTAATGCAAAAAAACGACGCCTGTGTTTTCCCCCTCAAGACAAATGTAAAGAAAACTACTGTTAAAACAATGATCCTTTTAAACGCTTTCATTTTACTGAGAAATTCTAGGATATGTTAAGAATTCTTTTTGGAAACAATTTGAAGGTTTTTGTAATAATTTGGGCTAATTACCTGGGAAGATGGATAAACAGCATTAATCGGGTCTCCGTTTGTCTCCCAGCGGTCCGGAAGTTTCAAAGGTGCGTCACAACATTCAGGACATGGAGCTGAGAGAGGAATGGCAGGATGAAGACCTCCCCAGGTCGGAGTTCTTGTGATTAGGGCATCTTTGGGCTCCCTGTACACGTTCTCGGCAGTGTTTATGTTAGATAAACAGAATAGATTTATATAAAACTGAAAAATAATTTTGGCTAGTTATGATCTACTTCCAATAGGTATATTGTACTTCATTGCTAAGTAAAATTTTAACAAATGGAAACCTGTTGCAGGCCACTTCCAGAGGATGTACAGAGCCCAGGAGGTGGGCCGCTGGATCATTCAGGAGCAGGGGAGAGGCCAGGTGAATGAGGCTGGGGGAGTTTGCACTGTACTCATTATCAGCTGCCCTGTGTAAATCCTTATTAAAGTGTCAGCCTGATTCTCAGAAGGACTTCCTACATGAAAAATGACTGCTGTTGTAATGCTAGTGTGGCGGGGGTTTGTTTACATGAGCCTGTAGTCTCTCCCTCCATGGGTGGTCTGTGATGTTTATTAGATATGACTGTTGCCTTTTTGCGTTCCCTGAGTGTTCTGATTGATTAGTCTTGTTAGCTTATTGTTTGTTAGAAGTCGTCGTGTAGCTCCTGCTCCAGTCCTGCTTACACTCATACTTGGGCATTTATTGGGAGCTCAGCTTAGCGGAGTCCTCGACAGCACCTGTGGTTATGCATCTGTATTGTGATGGTTATAGATTAGGGGGCTGCAGTTTGTAACTGTCCTATCAATCCCCCTCTGGCTCCAGCCAAGCCTACAAGCTTGGCTCTGTCAGGGGGGGGTCACCCGAGGAAGAGGCGGCTGGTGGCTCCCACCCTCAGCCTCACGCTGGACCACAGTGACTCCATCATGTCCGACGAGTTCGCCTCGGCCGCCCTCTCGCCCACCCCGGAGGACGACGACGACGATGACGGCGAGCTGGACTTCAACCTGGATGCCATGGATACTCCGTCCGACAGCGAGTCCAGCAACTTTCAAGGGAGCGTGGCAGAGCTGGAGTGGGAGGGTGAGGGGGTGTGACCGAGCTGGTGTGGGAGGGGGGGTGAGGGGGCGTGGCCGAGCTGGTGAGGGGGTGTGACCGAGCTGGTGAGGGGGGGGGGGTGAGGGGGCGTGGCCGAGCTG